CTTGATAAGTGTTTATATCGATGTTCCAGCTAATGGCAGGCCAGCGTTAAACCTTGAAACGCGTCTTGATCATGATGGTCATCCTCTTGCAATCACTGCAGTTGATGCTGTTGCAGCAAACGGAGTTCCTCCCTGGAATTGGAGAGAGACTCCTGGAAATGGCAAGTCTCAGAAAAAGCTTATTAAATTAACTTAAGCTTCAAAGTTAATTTGCCAAAAAGGGCAAAGATATGTTTTTGAACTTTATGTTCTAAATATGGTGTAGTATATGTAAGAATCGGCGTTTTCTAAACTCTTGAGAACCAAAATCACTCCAATCTTGAGATTGCTTCACCGCGTCTGTTCCTCTGCTTGATTGACTTTTGTCTTGTCTCTTTATAACTGACTAAAATTTCGTATGTTTCATGTTTGTACAAGCAGGTGGTGATCCTCATGGTCAGGCATTTGGTGGGAGGGTCATAACAGTGAAATTTGGGGACTATACAAGAAGAATTGGCGTTGATGGTAGCTCCGAAGCAATCAAAGAGACTATCAGATCCGCGTTTGGGTTAAGAACCCGACGTGCTTTTTGGCTTGAAGATGAAGATCAGATTGTTCGCTGTCTAGACCGGGACATGCCCTTAGGGAACTATCTACTCCATGTTGATGATGGTAAGATTTAAGGAAATACACCACCATTCGTATCTGCTGAGCTTTGTGTTTTGACCCGAAAGCTGGTTTACTGAATTATCAATATTCGAAACCTATTTTACAGGACTGGCCATTAGAGTTTGCCATTATGATGAATCCAACCAGTTACCAGTCCATACAGAAGAGAAAATCTTCTACACAGAAGAAGATTACCGTGATTTTCTAGCTCGACGGGGATGGACATGTCTGCAAGTTGATGGTTTTAGAAACATAGACAACATGGATGATCTTCAACCTGGTGCTGTGTACCGAGGAGTTCGATGAGAGAACTGTGTTCACAAAACTTCTTATCCAAATCTGTCAACAGTTAATCAATCACCCTGTAAATGTAATCTCATTTCCTTTGTACATTTCCTCATTTTTTCCCAGGAAGAGCAAAGAATGTAACTGAGCTGGTCATGCATGATGGTTCATTTGATGTATCATTTTCCATTAACCTTACATATCAATAAAACCTCAACTAGTTTCTTTGGTCTTTTACATTT